CCCTATTTCGTTGTAAATAAATTGTGATTAAGGTTTATATTTGAAATTATACGCATGAGTATATTCCAATGAAGGTACTTAAACATACACTCTTACGTTAAAGAATACCTTTATTTTTTAATATTTTATCGTAGGCACTTTTTAGGCATTTGTCCTTCTGCACCTCCGATAGCCTGTAGTATTGAAGGACACCACTCCGTCCAGTTCGACTGTTCRCTGTTCGCCATGAGTTGTTGCATAAGGAAGCAGCACAATTCCAATGCCAATTCGTTTCGTTTTCAAGTCTTCTGGAGGCAAACTTTATATCTGGGGTCCCATCTAGTAAATTATCTGGCTGTTTACTCCAGTGAGCCGAGCAAAGCACTGTTCTTGCCCAATTAACTTCGTCTTTTTTACCAAGAACATCAAGGTATCCAGAAACTATTGTCTTCGAAGCCCCTTTTAGCTTTGTTAAACGGTAATAACATACACCTGGGGTTCTCCAGCTATTTTTACAGTATTTAGAACTACAATTCCAGTGCCACTTCGACTTGTTGCTATCGGCGGACGCCATTTTGGAATTTAACTTGTCCGCCAAAGTCCGCACTCGGCTCAGTCCCTCACGGTATGAAATTAGGAAATGGCTGTACGGTTGCTTTCAAGAGCAAGGGTTTCATACTGTCCGCAGAAGCAATCGCTTCTGGGCAGGACWGTGGACAGACTTAACCATCGAGCAGGTTATGATGAGGTCCATCAAAAGTAGAGGAGGTCTGACAAGAGGACGTGGAGTTAGTGAGACTGTTCTCCTCCAATGGATTCGCAGCTGTCCACGAGGCCATGACATCCATCACTAATGCCAAGCATAAAACTAGCGAACAACATGCAGAGCTCGGAGAATCACGTAGCAACAGAGATTTTTCTGACCTGAACACTGTTAAAAACTGGTTTGATCAGCATCCATCAAACGAAGTGACCAAATAAAGTCCTTGGATTCTCTGTACCCAGGAATACAGATTGATAAGCAAAAGCTGCACATCGACCCAAACCATCTGTTCCACCGCTTGATTGTAATAGCACAACGAGAAAATGATATGGCACCGTATTTTGAATACGAATTAACAGCGCTACCAACCTCTCTGTTCAAGGACACCTTCATGAGAAAGTCACAAAAGTCGCAATTAGCTAAAGCCCTACAAGATGGCGTTGAACCCTGTGCGGAAAATACAGAAACCATGTGGGTTCTTGATGGTGGTGCGCTTCTGCACAGAGTTAAGTGGCAAAAGAAGACAACATACAAGGGGATAGCAATGCAGTATGTTGAATATGTCCGTACGGTGACTGCTGTATTGTCTTTGATGGATATGAACACGGACCATCTATCAAAGACCACGAACACAAGCAAAGAACTGGAAAAACCTGCGCAGATATTCTGGTCAACGAATCCGCCAAGGCTCACAGTGACCAACAGATCTTTCTCACGAATGAAAAAAACAAGAGTCAGTTYATCGCATTGTTAAGTAAAAGTTTAGAAACTGATGGACAGATCGTACACAACAGTACTGGGGATGCTGACACAATGATAGTAGAACGCGCACTCCAATTTTCAAATGAAGGAAGGGATGTAGCTGTTGTAGCAGATGACACAGATATCCTTGTACTTCTGATGTACCACTGGAAGCAAGGCATGKCCAATATATATTTTCATTCACAGGCCAGCAGGAAACATAGAGAAAGGTCGTGGAAAATTCAAGATTTAGTTACCAAATCAGACAAGGAAATTACATCGAACCTCCTATTCACAACACATTTGCTGTACATATTACAAGATATATTGATATCAAAAGATAGAACGAAGTAAAATGATTTCATATTTTCCACCAAAGAAGATAGAGATAGATGATATTTTATATTTCGCCGACAATCCAACACTGGAAGACACTGCAGTGCCGATCCACATTTTCCACATTATCAACGCTTGCCCCGCATTCGACTTCATTCCTAAACCATAGAAACTACATCTCTTTCTCGGCAAATATMTCTAATGCGGCACCTAGCCAACAACTCTTTTATAGTTCTTCAAAAATACTAAGGATAGGTCTATCGAACCATGAAATAAAACTTGTTGGCAAACATCTTTTTAATGGAGAAACAGAGACATGAAAAACGTCACAATCGTGGTCTGAATATGCTAATAGCTTYGGGCAGCCTGGTCTAGACTTTTTTCATTTCATAAAACTACTCTGAAATTGCCAATCCTCGAGATGTTTTAATGATTAAAGAATATGTATATTCTCTTTGATACCAATACATTTTGGAAATATATGATCAGTATTGTCATAAACTTCCAATCAATATCTCCCGTTTTCATCTCGTAAGTTAAATCGTTAATTTTCTGTGGAGTCTACAAATCTTCCAAACATTCTTCACAAAATCGCAATATTTATGTCTGTCAGGGGTACCACGTTATGATTGCCGTAAAACAAGTATAAAATAAAATGAGGCGAATAGAATATGATTTTCCAACATAACTAATAGGAATAAACATTTGCTGAGAAAACACACGAAATTCGGCTGGTCGGAAATTACACGGACCTCCTTTTAAGTGATCTCTTACATCTGCTTCACATGAGTCAAGCAATGGCAGTTTAGGTCGTTCTCTGTGGGACCAACTTGCTTGGATCACTTCTTGGTTTGTGGGGAATTGGATGGTGTGAACGCGCGAAAAATGAACCCCTCCGACTGTGCCACCAAGACAACCAGGTATTTAAAAACTCGACTTTTATCTTCAGAAATAAAGTCATCTAGCTTTTGTTTGGCRTTATTATACGCAGATGCTGTCACACTTTTTAACACTTCCTYGCAATGGTATTTAAATTATTCAGYACTTTGGTCATCGAGTTTTTTAGCTTGTTTGTTTCTTTGGTCTTTGAAATGAAATTCGCAAGTTTTTATTCTGTCGCCCACTTGTTCTCCAAAAACTTTGCAAATTCCAGAAAGGTTAGCACTGGCCATGTACGTGCACCATCCCACAGGGTTAGAGGTTTTAGATTTTTTTTCTCAGAGTCTCATTGAGCAACTCACAAAACAACTGCACATTTTCAGTATCTTCGCGCTCCGCTTCCATGGTCAACCTGCTTCCTTAGGAGCGGGTGATAAGCACTCGCGGTTAGGGTTTTAAAACTACGACACCTATCGCGCTTTGTATCACAAAAAAAAAAAACAACAAGACACGATCATAAGACGCGGTTAGGGTTTTAAAACTACGACACCTATCGCGCTTTGTATCACAAAAAAAAAATAAAAAAAAAATCACTTATGACCCAAGGGGCATTTACCTTGTATATGTAATATGGATCTTCTTTGTCACAGTATTCCTTAAAGTGGACTACTGCATCAAAGTTGTCTCCATTCSTTTCTACATCTCCTTTCAGCTTCTGTTTTACATTTGAAATGTTCATTCTGTTAACCACTGACTCCACCTTTCTAAGCGATTGCCAGTTCTTCTAGTTTTTAAATCCCGACATTATCACGGAGGACTGTACTTCGGATGGTTTGATATTTGGGTTATTTTTTATCAACTCCTCATTTGCCTTGTTGTTCTG